AAAAGCAAGACTCTGTCTCAAAAAAAAAAAAAAGTAATGTCTGCAGAATCTATAGTGTATGTCCTGTTTTATTTCCTTCTTTCTTTCTTTCTTTTTTTTTTTTTTGAAAGAAAGAAAGAGAAAGAGAAAGGGGAAGAGAGAACAGGAGTCTTGCCCAGGCTGGAATGCAATCTAAAAATAGGTATTAAAAGCCTCTTTTATGCTGATAATTGTGCTTAACAGCGGAGACAGGAAGGAATAAGGGAAGAAAATAACAAACAGACAGCCAACCAATATTTCATTTACATCTGTGAAATGCTATGCAAATGCTGAAGACTGATTTACTTCCAATTATGTGGTCACTTTCAAAATAGGTGTAATATGATACTGAGAAAAATGTATGTTCTGTGGACCTGGGGTGAAGAATTCTATAAATACTCACTGAGTTTACTTGTTCCAGGTCTGAGTTCAAATCATGGATGGCCCTGTTAATTTTCTATCTCTTCGATCTGTCGAATATTAACAACGTGGTGTCAAAGTCTCCCGCTATTATTGTGCGGGAGTCCAAGTCTCTTTATAAGTCATCAAGAACTTGTCTTATGTGTCTGGGTGTTCCTGTATTGGGTGCACATATATTTATGATCACTGACTCCTGTGGTTGCATTGATCCTTTTACCATTATGTAATGTCCTTCTTTGTTTCTTTTAGTCTTTGTTACTATTAAAGTCTATTTTGTCAGAGGCGAAAGTTACAACTCCTGCTTTCTTTTTTTTTTTTGCTCTCCATTTGATTGGTAAGTCTTCCACCAACCCTTTGTTTTGAGTCTTTGTGTGTCCTTGCTTATGAGATAGATCTGGATACAGCGAACCGATGGGTTTTGACTTTTTATTCAATTTGCCTGTCTGTGTCTTTGATTGGGGCATTTAATCCATTTGAATTTAGGATTAATATTGATATTTGTGAGTTTAATATTGTCATTTAATGCTAGCTGGCTATTTTGCCCATTAGTTGATATAGATTCTTCATTATGGAGATACTCTTTACCTTTTGGTAAGTTTTTGGGATGACTGATACTGGTTTTTCCTTTCTGTGTATAGTGCTTCTTTCAGACGCTCTTGTAAAGCAGGCCTGGTGGTGATGAAATCTCGGAGTGCTTGCTTGTTCGTGAAAAATTTTATTTTTCCTTGATTTATAAAGCTTAATTTGGCTGGATATGAGATTCTGGGTTGCAAATTCTTTTCTTTGAGGATATTGAATATTGACCCCCACTCTCTTCTAGTTTGTAGGGTTTCAGCTGAGAGATCAGCTGTGAGTCTGATAGGCTTCTCTTTATGGGTAATCTGACCTTTCTCTCTAGCTGCCCTTAGAATTTTCTCCTTTATTTCAACCCTGGTGAATCTAGCGATTATGTGTCTTGGGGTTGCTCTACTTGAGGAGTATCTTTGTGGTCTTCTCTGTATTACATGAACTTGAGTATTTTCCTGCCTTACTAGGTTAGGAAAGTTTTCCTGAATAATATCCTGAAGAATATTTTCCAGCTTGGATTCATTCTCTTCATGACATTCAGGTACGCCTATCAAACGCAAATTAGGTCTTTTCACATCATCCCATATTTCTTGGAGACTTTGCTTGTTCCTTTTTACTCTTTCTTCTCTAATCTTGTCTTCTCGTTTCATTTCATTAAGTTGGTCTTCGACCTCTGATATCCTTTCTTCTGCTTGATCAATTTGAGTGTTAAAACCTGTGCATACTTTGTGGCGTTCTCATATTGTATTCTTCAGTTCCATTAATTCACTTATATTCCTCTCTAGATTGCCTATTCTTGTTAGGATTTCATCAAACCTTTTTTCAAGGTTCTTAGTTTCTTTACATTGGGCTAGAACATGTTCTTTTAACTCACAGAAGTTTCTTATTATCCACCTTCTGAAGCCTAAATCTGTTAATGGAACGCACTCATCCTCCATCAGGCCATGTTCCCTTGTTGATGAGGAACTATGATCCCCTGTAGAGGGAGAGGCATTCTGATTTTGGGTATTCTCAGCCTTTTTACGCTGGTTTCTTCCCATCATTGTAAATTTATCCACCTGTCGTCTTTGTAATTACCGACTTTCAGATTAGATCTCCGAGTGGACGTCCAATTTGTTGATTCCCAGCGCCGGAATCTGAGCAACCCACTGCGCCAAAACAGCGGATTAAGATTCGTGGTGCTTTTCTGCTCAGGAATCTCCTGTCTGGCTTCCTTCCTGAGTCTCTTTTTCAATCAGCTGAATGGGTGACTCTGCCTTCCCGGAGCTCCAAACGTCGACCAAAAGGGGACCCAGTCCCGTTTACTCTGCACCAAAACTGCTGTGCCGGGGTCGCGCTGGTGACCCATGGGGCTCCTCCGCTGGGAATCTCCTGGTGCGTGAGCAACAACAATTCGTCTGAAAGTGTGGCGTCCTCTCGTTCTCTGAGCTTTCACTGGGAGCTACAATACTGAGCTGCTAGTGATCAGCCATCTTGGATCTCTCTGCTCTTATTTCCGATGTTGGTAATTTGTGTTTTCTCTCTCTCTCTCTCTCTCTCTCTCTCTCTCACACACACACACACACACACACACACACACACACACACACTTTTTCTTGAATAGTCTAGCTAGGGATTTATTTTTGCAGAAACCAACTTTTGGCTTTGTTAACTTTCTCTATTTTTTTTTTCCATTTCATCAACTTCTACTCTTTATGATTTTCTTTCTTCTACTTATTTTGGGCTTATTTAGCTTCTTAAAATAGAAACTTAGGTCATTGATTTTAACCTTTGAGGTATTTAAAGTTCCCTCTCAACACCGTTTCAGCAGCATCTCATACATTTTGACATGTACTTTCATTATTATTTCATGAAGAATGTTTTCCAAATTCCCTTGTGGTGTTTTGTTTGTTTGTTTTTGAGATGAAGTCTTGCTCTGTTGCCGAGGCTGGAGTGCAGTGGCATGATCTGGGCTCACTGCAACCTCCACCTCCTGGGCTCAAGCAATGCTCTTGCCTCAGCCTCCCAAATAGCTGGGACTACAGGCACATGCCACCACACCCAGCTAATTTTTTGTATTTTTTTAGTAGAGATGGGGTTTCACCGTGTTGCCCAGGCTGGTCTCGAACTCCTGAGCTCAGGCAACTGACCCACCTCAGCCTCCCAAAGTGCTGGGATTATAGGTGTGAGCCACCATGCCTGGCTGCCCTTGTAATTTTTTTGACTTGTGGGTTATTTAGAAGTGTTATTTAATTTCAAATATTTGGGAGTTTCTAGATACTTTTTATTTATCTCTAATTTAATTCCATTATACTCAAAGAACATTTTCTGTATAATTTAAGTCCCTTTAAACTTATCGCAACTTGTTTCAGAGCCAAACATATTTTCTTATTGAATGAACCATATGCACTTGAAAATCCTGTGTATTCTACAGTTAAGTATGCACATATATTTGTTTGCTATGTCTTCCAATGAATGTCCTCATAAAATGTCCCTCTGTTTCTATTGATACTCTTTGTTTTCGAATCTGAGGCTGGTATCTGGTACTAATCTACTCTCCAGTGTTCCGGTTGCTGTTTGTGTGCTGTATCTTTTGTCTTTTCTTTACTTTCAATGTATCTGTGTCTATATATATATATATATATATATATTTTTTTTTTTTTTTTCTTTTTTTTGAGACGGAGTTTCACTCATGTTACCCAGGCTGGAGTGCAATGGTGCAATCTCAGCTCACCGCAACCTCCGCCTCCTGGGTTCAGGCAATTCTCCTGCCTCAGCCTCCTGAGTAGCTGGGATTACAGGCACGCACCACCATGCCCAGCTAATGTTTTTGTATTTTTAGTAGAGACGGGGTTTCACCATGTTGACCAGGATGGTCTCGATCTCTTGACCTCGTGATCCACCCGCCTCGGCCTCCCAAAGTGCTGGGATTACAGGCGTGAGCCACCGCGCCCGGCCTGTGTCTTTATATTAAATACGCATCTCTTGTAGGTAGCAAATAGTTAAGACTTACTCTTATTTTTCCCCATTCTGATAATCTCTGGATTTTAAACAAAGTGTTTAATCAATTTAGAGTTGGGATAATTATTGGTATGGTTAAATTTGTCTGTCATTTTACTATTTGTTTTCTGATTAGTCAGTCCTCTTTTTGGTCCTCTGGGTTTTTTTGTTTGTTTGTTTGTGTTCTCCTTTCTTTGGGGTTAAATATTTTTAGAATTTCATTTTAATTCATCCACAGGCTTTTTATATTTTTATATTTTGGGGTCTTGTGACCTAGAGATTATAATATATATCTTTAAATTTTTAGTCTGCTTACAACTGACATTGTGCCACTTTAAATGAAATGTAAGAATTTGCAGCCACATATGTCTGCTTACTAGCCCTCTTCCTTTATGCTGGAGCTGCCATTTGTATTATATTTACATATATTGTAGATGCCACCATAAAATGTTATCATTTTTGCCTTAAAATGTCATATCCACTTGAAAGCAATTAGAGAAAAGTCGCCTTTAGTACTTTTCATGTGCAGTGGTTCTCAGGTCTTCCTAAAGATTCCAATTTCGGCTTGGTATAATTTCCTTTCAGTCTAAAGCACTGTCTTCATCATTTCTTGTTGTGCAGGCCTAATGGTGATGAATTCTCTCAGTTTACATTTATCTTTAAACTTCTTTATTTTACCTTCAAACTTCAAGGCCAATTTCTCCAGACACAGAATTCTGATTGATGGTGTCTTTTTTTCTGTCATTACTTTTAAAGGTGTTATTCCAGTGCCTTCTGGCATCCATTATTCCTGATAAGAATTTGGAGGGGCCTTTGTCTCTCACTGAAGTGGGAGCAGCAGGGCTCGCCTTTATTCTTTGCCGTCTGCTCCTAGAGGCCCAGCTTCTGTGGCCCGATGACCTGCAGGTATTTGGAGATCCACCGCTAAGACACCAGGACCCCCAGGGAGCCTAGAAATTGGACTGCTGACGTTTAGAGATGTGGCCATAGAATCTCTCTGACAGAGTGACAATTCTTAGACACTACACAGCAGAATTTATACAGGAACGTGATGTTAGAGAACTATGGGAATCAGGTCTTTCTGGGTATTGCTGTCTCTAGGCCAGACCTGATCACCTGTCTGGAGCAAGAAAACGAGCCTTGGAATATGAAGAGACATGAGGTGGTGGATTAAGCCCCAGGCAGGTGCAAGTGAAGGTGGACACAGCAGATGACACAGACAAGAGGTCTGAATATTAAAGAGAAAGCCAGCTGTTAAAATATGAGTGGAAAAGCTATGTTCCATGGGAAGGAAATGGTTTCTGGGAAACCTGAAGTTGGTTTTTTGGGTTTCTTTTCTTACATATTTGAACATCTTTAGTTTTCTGTGTTTAAATTTTCCAAGGATTCTACTTTCTTTTTGGTGATCTTCTTTCAAGCTTTCAGTGAGAGCCACTGTCCCCTTCATGGCATTTTAAAAACCGCACAGTCTGACTGCTTTTACATTCTTTTTGGGAACACACAAATCTGCATAATTTTAAGAAATTTTTGTTAAACAATTTTTTAAGTTTTCTTTTTGTATCATGTGTAAAATGTAAGTAGTAGTTTCTGTCCCATTTTTTTGTTGTTTTATCTTGTCTGTGTTACTAGAGCCTTCAAATATAGTTTGAAGTTATAAAGTATGCCCCCTGCTTTGTTCTTTATTTTTAGGATTGCTTGGACTATTCAAAGTTTATTGTCGTTTCATGTAAATTACAAAATTGTATTTTCCATTAATTAAAAAAGATTGCCACTGAAATTTTGACAGTTTATTGAATCTATAGGTCAGTTTGGATAACATGGCAGTTTAACATTATTTATTCTTTAAATGCAAAGACATAAAAAAAAATATATATATATTTGACTGTCCTAAATTGTTTATTAGGTATGAATTTTACAAACTCCACTTATATTAGCGGTAACGGTGGAGCTGGAGAGTATTGTGCCTTCTCCGAGCTGCCCGGTGAGAATCACCAATAGTGTGGTGCAACTTATGGCCCTTTCCAAGGCCACGGCTCTTTCAGCCTGCAGGTGTCAGCCCACGCATCTCCCCGTGCTTGTGGACTGGTTTTGTGATCCATTGGATGTCAGGATTTCTTCTGATAGCTTTATAGAATGGATCAATGAGAATAACCTCAAAAAATTTATATGTGGAATCTTCACCAACCCAGTAAGAATTAAGGACTCTTAGAGCCTCACGGTGGCGTCCAGCTCACTCCTCTGCAACAGACTGAAGGCTTCGAGCGAACTTTAGCTGGTTAGCACCGTGATGGGCAGGCTTGCCGTAATATGCACCCTTAGGAACTGGGCGTTTTCGGCCACCACGGCAAATACGAATCCTATACATAACATAAACTTGCTTGGCCTTATAGCCCAGTTGGCGGACTTTATCAGGCCGGGTGGGGCAGGGAACCTTGTGGAGAGCAGAGAGCTGGCAGTACTGCCAGCAGCGGACCCTCAGAAGAAAGCCCATGGCATCAGACTGCTTCTTTCTCCATGGCTCCTGGATGTACTTGTATGCACCCATCTTGACTCACCTGATGGCTGCCGCCAGACGGAAAGGAAAGAGCTGTCGACATAAAATATTTTTAAATTTATTTATTTTCTAATTTCTTTTAATAATATATCACTGTAAAGATCTTTACCTGCTTTGTTAAATTTGATCTCAGAAATTTATCATTTCAATGCTGTTGTAAATAAGATTGTTTTCTTCTTCTATTTTTTAAAAAAAGAATTTAGTAGTCGTTTGTAATGTTCTGTGTAGTATCATTTTTTTTTCTGCCTGCTTTCAAGATTTTCTTTACATCTTAGGTATATAACAGTATGACTAGAATGTGCCCACGTGGTTTTCTTTAGACACAACTTGCTTGGGGTCTGCTGAGCTTTTTAGATTCATACATTATATCTTTTATTGTGTTGGGGAAATGTGGGCCACTATGTCTTCAATTATTTTTATGTCTCATTTGTTTATCTTCTCTCATTCTGAGTCTCCAATTGCAGGTATGTTAGACCTTTTGATATCATCCCACTGATCAGTGAGTGCCTGTTTATTTTTGTTCTCTATTCTTCAGATTAGTACATGTCTGTTGATCTGTGTTCAGGCTCACTGACTCTTTCTTCTGTCATTGTAAATGTGCTGTTGAGCCCATTCGGTAAATTTTTAATTTTACTTCTTTATCATATTTTTCAGTTTTATAATTTCTATTAGGTTTTATTTGGCAATCTCAATTTATTTGATAACATTTCTTATTTATTTATTACAAGCATATTTTCCTTTATATCTTTGAGCAAAAGTATAATTTCTGCTTAAAATACTTGTCTGTTAATTCCAGCACCAAAACCATTTTATGATCAGTCCTCATGTATTATCTTTTCTCTCAATTATGAGTCAGGTTTTCTTGTTTCTTACTGTGTTAGTAATTTTTGATTACATCCTGGACTTCATGAATGATACATTGTATCACCTCTGGATTCTGTTCTTCACTTCTCTGAAGGGTGTTGATGTTTTGTTTTAAGAGGCAATTAACTGGCTGAACTCAAACTACAAACCCCATTTCCTTCATGGTGAGGATCAGTGGAAATTGCTGTTCAGTTCTGTTAGTTCGGTTGGGCTTTTTGGATTCTCCCCTATGTTTGCATAAAGAGAGATTTAGGCAAAGTTTATAGTCAGAATTTGGGACACTCTCTCCTTTGCAATGTTCCTCCTCCACTTTCCAGCTGCCCCAAACTCTCTCGTCTGGTTCTCTAAGCCAATAAGACTACAAGTTTCTGCTTGAACTTTAAGACAGTCTGCATGAAGCCAATTGCAGCCTGCCCTTTGATGAAAAGCTGCAATGGAAAACTTACACAATGAAATTTTATTTATCTGAGTGCCAGCTTCCATTCAGTTTCTTCTTTCTTCTGATCGCTCTCCAGTGTCTGCACATAGTTGTTACTTTTTATGTTTTGCCCAGAGTTTATAGCTGTTGTCTATGGGAAAGATGCTTATGATTTGCTGGAACCTTCTGATCATCAAATTTTGTGACATGGAAGTCGTTGGTGACTTGACCAAAGCAATTTTGGTTGAGTGATAGGGGCAGAAACTTGACTGGAGTGGGTTCAAGAGAAAGAGGAGGAAAAGGAATTTTAGAGAGTGAGGACTGACAGTTTTCTAAGAAGGTTTTCGTGAAGAAGAAGAGATAAATGAGGTGCTTTAGGGGATGAATGTGGCATAAACCGTTTTTTTGTAAAATAAAATCATGTCTTATATGCTGACGGGAACAATATGGCTGAGAAGGAGAAATCGATGTCCCGAGAGAGAGAGGAAAACATTGCTGGTGTGCTGTCCTTGGTTAGGTGAATAGGCATAGCACCTGGTGCACAAGTGGAAGGATCGGTCCTGGCTCGGCTGTGGACAGCTCTACTACAGTTGCCGAGGTAGGTGCTGGTAGACGTGGCGGTGGGAGATGATTGGAGTTCTCTTTGTGATACGTCCATGTTCTCAGTGCGATCTGAGAGTGAGGATAGAGGAGGACATGTTAGATGCTGGAAGAGAGTAAAAGGCACGAAATAGTTGAGAAGCGCCGGAAAACTAAAGAACTAGTGAAATACAAATTAGAATGCTGGGCAGCGCTGAGAACCCGCCGTGAATGTAAAGGAAGACCGGTCAGCACAGTCACATGCTTACTCCACCCACATGTTGCTACCACATAGGTGCAGGTGCAGAGTAAGTGAAGAGGACTTGACCTGGGGGCTTCCAGGCAGGTCAGTGAGGCCAGAGAGGAGGAAGGGAGTTAAGGATGCGGGCTAGGAAGTGGCTATAGATGGGCCACTTTAACCTGGGTAAGGAAGGAGAAAACACAAGGGGGGTGGTGGAGAGATAATTAAAATTAAGATGATAGAATGAACAGATTGCAGGGCCCAAAGGATGATTAGGGTCTGGGTACTTGAGGCAGTGAGGAGTCATTTGGAGAGTAGTGGTCAAAGAGTGTGTTGCTGGGAATTGAGAATATGAGGGAATTGACCAACCATGAAAGTAAATGGCTAAAGTGGGATAGAAGACGAAAATCTCTGCAGAAGAGATCAAGAAACCAAGAGGCCAGGATGTCGGATGGATTGTACTCATAGTTATTGAAACCACCAAGAATTATAATAGAACTGACTCTGTGATGGTGGATTGGAGCGAAAATCTTCAGGGAAGTGAGAGGAGTGTCCCAGGGTCCATCAGTGACTGCAACAGAAGGGACAGCAGCGGCACAGTGTGATGACATGAGGCACGTGTTTAACCAGACTGAAACAAGGCTCATGGCGGCGCCAGGCGTTCCTCTGTCCTACGCGCCACCTGTGATCGTTGCCAGTCAACACACAGACCATCTGGGGACAGAGACGAGCGCTTCTCCAAATACTCAGAGATAACCCAGAAGAAACCCTTGTTTGGGGTTAGAATGAGAAGGACTCCATCCTTTACATCAGGTGGTCTGGTAGGTCTGAGCTCTGTGAACCAAAGATCCTGGTTGGTGGTTACCCAAACTCCTGGCAAGTCTAGCTAGGGGGATGGGTGAGGCTGGTGCAGGGGGCACTGACAGCTTGCTATATCATCGACCTACCAGCTTATCTTGAGAGGAGAGGTGCAGAGGTTGGTAGAGAGATTGAGATGGAGAGACACAGGTGTGAAAGGGACGCAGAGGAGAGGGTCTGGCTCTTCCCTAGAGAGCCAGGATATTGTGTCTGCCCCTGCTGCTCATTCAGGGGAAACTGAGGCCCCAAGAGGGGAGCACTCACACAGCAACCCTCTGGCCTCTCGTGGCTGTCCCTCAGAGCTTCTACCCAGCCTCCCAACACCTCCCTGGGCCTTCCCTTCTTTTCTCAGTGCTCTACAAAGTTCTGAACCAGCCTGAGCCACAGGTGTTTTGGTTCATTTGCTTTTGAAAAACAAAAGACAAAGGTTAATTAAATCACCACCCACCCAGCCACCCCAGCAAAACACTCTGGCCTCATCTTTCACACTTCCTTTCCCATTGAGGCACCAAGTCCTGACAACTCAAAAATGTTACTTCATCTCCACACCCATCACCACTCTCTACCCTGGGCCACCGTCAGGCCTGGCCCCTTCGTGGCAACATGCCAGGCCTCCCAGCAGGGCCCTCTGACTCGTTTCCCGTCCCTTCACCACCAGGGTGTGCCTCCACTAGAGCCATCTTTCTAAATAATGCTGACTGCATCCTTCCCCGGCCTCAGTGCACCGACAGCTCCCACTTTTCTGTAGCCAGAATTCTTAGGCTGTCACCCAAGGCTCTCTCAGGCTGGTCCCCGCTCCCCACTGCCTCCTGCTGCTTTCCATTCCCTCCCTGTGCTCCACCCATGACAGGCATCTCCCCAGACACGATGTGCTGGGCTAATCCCAGTCTTTGTGTTGTTCCTTCTGCCTGGTGTGCCCTTCCCCTGCCGCTGCCTGTCAAAATCCTGTTCATCCTTTGAGGCCCAACTCACATGTCATCCCTCTGTGAGACCTGAGTGCGTGCACCTGTGTGGAGGCCCCAGTCGTGTCCTGGCTTGTGTGTGCATCTGTGTTTTCCCCTCTGTGACAGTGACTTGCTCCTTTTTTTGCCCTTTCTTCATACCTGGCACCGTGTCCCACACAGAGCACATGCTCAACATGCGCTGAATGGAACAGGGGTCTGGGTATAAATTCATATAATTGCGTGTTGAACTGACCTTGAAAGTCTCCCAGGCCTCCCTCCCCACGCTGACCCTTGAAGGTTCATAAACAGCCTTCCATATCGGCCAACCAGCACCCTGCAAGCACCTGCAGGGGAAGAGAATCCAAAGCTGTGCCAACCATTAGTCAAGTCTCCGATATTGCTCTGGGTTCTGGGTTCTGGGCATGAGAGAAGGAGACCTTGAGAGCACCAATGCTCCGAGAAGCACAGGGTGAAAGCAGAGAGATTTCTGTTCCACGAAAACTCACATGAATGTCTGACTTGGACGGGAAGGGACCCCAGGTATGCCCTCATTTCAGCAGGAAGGCAACTGGTGAGGGGGTTTTTCCAAGGCCACACATTCCAAGCTGGGTTCCTACAGCTTCCACTCACTGGTCTTGTCTTTCCTCATTGGGGCCACGGAGAACCGGTCCAGTCTCTCCCCGTGACAATCCTTCCAGTACCTGAACACAGCCCTCTGGTGCTTCTGAGCTTTCTCATATCCACGCTAAGCCTCCTCAGCTGCTTCAACCATTCCTTGAGGGCATAATTTACTGTCCCTCTTGGTCACCCCTCTCTGAACATGTCTCAGATTGTCACTGTCCCTCTTAAGAACTGGAGCTCTGGGCCGGGCTCGGTGGCTAATGCCTGTAATCCCAGCACTTTGGGAGGCCGAGGCAGGTGGATCACGAGGTCAGGAGATCAGGATCCTCCTGGCCAACATGGTGAAAACCTGTCTCTACTAAAAATACAAAAATTAGCAGGACATGGTGGCACGTGCCTGTAATCCCAGCTACTCTGGAGGCTGAGGCAGGAGAATCACTTGAACCAGGGAGTCGGAGGTTGCAGTGAGCTGAGATCGCACCACTGCACTCTAGCCTGGCGACAGAGCAAGACTCCATCTCAAAAAGAAAGAAAAAGAAAAAAAGAACTGGAGCTCTGAATAGATCAAGGACTCTGAATAGGTCAAGGGCCATCAGATGTGGTCCGAGTTGCACTGAGCACAGCAGGGCTGGACTCCTTCAGATTTTGGACATCCCAAATCTATCATCTAGGCCTGGAAGTTGCCAGGTCCTGGGGTCTCCAAACTCCAGTTCCTCAGAAACTCACGCAAAGATTTCTTTTGACTGCATGGTGGCCCAGATATTCTAGCACCTTCAGCCCATGGTGGATCTTACTCTGCTACCTCCTCAAGGAGGAGCAAGGAAATTGGGTGTGGCATATGTTGGTACTGGAAATAGGATTCTGCAGAGTTGAAAGAACAGCTTCAGGATAAATTTATCTCAGGTAGGTCTGAATATGACAGTTCCAGCTGGGGAAGCAGCCCAGATGCCACAAAAAGTGATGCCTCAATGTAACTATCAAGGGATCCCAGACGTGCCGCAGGTTGATGTGTGGCCTTGGAAAAACCCCCTTACCAGTTTCCTTCCTGCTGAAATGAGGGCATATCTGGGGTCCCTTCCCGTCCAAATCAGACCTTCATGTGAGCTTTCATGTAACAGAAATCTCTCTGCTTTCACCCTGTGCTTCTCGGAGCATTGGTGCTCTCGAGGTCTCCTTCTCCCATGCCCTTCAGCTTCCCGAGGTTCTCAACAAACCCCAAACATTGGCCCCAGCCTGCCCAGCTCCCTGGCTAGGACTGGGGAGCCTCCAGTTGGGCATTCATGCACAGATTCCCACACCCTCCCCCACCCAGCCTCCTCAACCTCCCAGTACCAGTGGCGGGGAGCTAGAGAAGCCATGAGTCAGGTGTCAAAACTGGCCCTGCCAGCTCCACCTTCCATCTAAACACAGTGTCAGCAAAAGGCAAGTTGAGGTTTGGCTGGAAAACTCTGCTGCCACCACTATCCAAGTGAGCAAGGCAAATAGAACTCCCTGCATATACTGAGCCCAAGCACTGGATTTGTAGAAGCTCTTCCCATCTTCCCTCAGCTGGGGAGGACACCTTTTACAATGACCATCAGGCCCATGGGAACCAGCAGGAATTTCTCCCTGCTGGCAGGAATTTCAACTATAGGACTAGATTGGTAGATTTGAGAGAACGAGTAACATTTGAGACTCAAAATAAAAGTTGAGCCACCCAGTATACAGGAGAAATCAAGGTTGGTAAGGATAACCCCCCTATAGACCCTGGGTGAGTTGGCAATGCCTGTACCAGCCCTGCCCCACCCAGAAAGGATTTGGAAGGGAAGCCCCAGCAGACCCTCTGCAACACCACCAGACTCAGCTGCTCACTCAGAGAATCAACTCAAGGGTCCTGCAGTATCCAAAGAGCCTTGCATAAAATCTTAGTAGTTGCTGCCAGGCACGGTGGCTCATGCCTGTAATACTGGCACTTTGGGAGGACGAAGCAAGGAGCTCAAGACCAGCCTGGCCAAGATGGTGAAACCTGGTCTCTACTAAAAATACAAAAATTAGCCAGGTGTGATGGCGGGTGCCTATAATCCCAGCTACTCGGGAGGCTGAGGCAGAGAATTGCTTGAACCTGGGAGGTGGAGGTTGCAGTGAGCCGAGATCACGCCACTGTACCCTAGTCTGGGTGACAGAGTGAGACTCCATCTCAAAAAAAAAAAAAAAGAAATCTTAGTAGTTGCTCGTGTGTGTGTGTGTGTGTGTGTGTGCGCGCGCGCGTGTAAGGGAATCAGATTAGCATTTCCCAAAATGAGTTCCAGAGGATGTTCACAATGCTAAGTGACAAAGGAGGTCTAAGTTTTAGAAACTCTGGGCTAAATGAGGTGAAGCAGTTTTTTTTCCTCGTGATTCTCAGAAGCTTTAATGTGCCCATGTGTGTCGTAGCAGAGAAAGAAAGAGAAAAAGACAAAGAGGTGGCAAGAAGCTCCTCCCAGTTTACTTCCGTGCAGAAAACTTTTTAACAGGACAGCAGTTTCAGAGGGCCACTTTGGAGAGCCACACTGAGACTGTTTAAACTTACTTCCAAAGGAAAATTCTGGAATCCCAGGCAAAGGCTGTCCCGGAACAGGTCAAATGGCAAACCAGATGGACATGGACTGGAAGAGCTGTCTGTGTGCATGAACCAAGTGCCACTGATGAGCCTTGCAGGGGGAATTCCAGCGTGCTCAGCCTTGAAACCTGCAGGCTGGTGGACAGCCTGCCGTGAACGTGGGAGTCAAGATGTAAGGGAGGAGCAGGGCTTGCTGCTTTCTTTGAAATGCTCTCACCTATCTCTGGGTAGCCTATCACCATCTGAGACAGGCTCCCAGAATCTCTGTCTCCTCAAGGATTGGAGGACCCTTGGGACCGCAGGGTAACCTAGCTTAGTAATTCTCAAACTAGAATGTACACATGGATCCCTGGGGATCTTATTGAAATGCAAATTCTAAGATTCTGCATTTCTACAAGCTCCCAGGGGGTGCCACTGCTGCCGTTCTGCCGGCACACTTTGAGCAGTAAGGTCCTGGCCAATCCAGGAAAGCTTCCTGAAAGGGCAGACCTATAAAAGAAGGGCAATTTGGAAGGAAAAAACACAAGGCTGGGGCTGCAGAATAATGTGGAAGTGGGGAGCGGGTGAGGCTGGTTTGGAGAGATAGGGAGAACAAGGAAGCCAGATCAGTCTAGGGGCACAGATTTTACAGTTAAGAATGGGGTGGGAGACACAGATGGGTGCTGAGGGGGGAGGCTGGGAGGTAGCTGCTGGGAGGAGGGCAGGGCGATCTCGGGCCCACACCAGCAGGGCGACAATTCAGGTGCATTTCAAACTCCCAAACCACACCCAGGGGGTGTTCTAATCCCTCAAGAGAGGGATGAAGACGTGGGGCTCCTGGTCCCACCCACTCCTTGGAATAGGCTTCTGCTGTCCAAGGGGAAGAGAGGTGGGGGTGTCATTGGCACCGGCGACTCCCCTCCCATCACTGTCTGGCTGCACACAGCTGGGCGGGGCGGCTGGACTGACTCCCACTGAGGAAGGAGAGGGTGGGAAGGAGGAAGCTAGACGAGGCCCACCCGAGGCCCGGGGCATGGGAGGAAAGGGGAACCTAAATTGGGGGAAAGTCAGGGCAGGCAGGAAGGAGGGGTTGGGCACCACAATTAAGGGCAAAGGACAGGAACCAGGGGACACTTTCTATCTGCACAAAATCTCAGAGATGATAGCAAATGCTACCTGCTTGTTCCACGTGCCAGGCACTGTTCCGGGCACTTAGATTTATAGGAGCTTTTTAGATTTTTTTTTTTTTTTTTTGAGATGGAGTTTCAATGTTGTGGCCCAGGCTGGAGTGCAGTGGTGCGGTGATCTCGGCTCACTGCAACCTCCGCCTCCCAAGTTCAAGCGATTCTCATGCCGCAGCCTCCCAAGTAGCTGGGATTACAGGTGCGCACCACCATGCCAGACTAATTTTTGTATTTTTAGTAAAGACGGGGTTTCACCGTGCTGGTCATGGTGGTGGTCTCAAACTCCTTACCTCAAATGACTCACTTGCCTCGGCCCCCCAAAGTGCTGGGATTACGGGCATAAGCCACCATGCTGCCTCTACAGGAGCCTATTTAATCCTCATGATAACCCAATGAGGTAGTTGCTAATATCATGCCTATTTTACAGAGGAAGAAACTGAGGCACAGTAACTTGACTAAGGTCACTCAATAAGTACCTAGTGGAGCTGGGATTGGACCCAGGGAGTCTGGCTTCAGAGTCCATGTCCTTCAACACTTTCCAGAACTCCAAGTAGATTCTGAGGCACATGTGACTTCCTCCCACCTCCTGCCACACCAACCCTTGCCTGGGTAAGATGTAAAATGGGTTGCTGCTGGTGGGAACAATAGTACCCTTCTGTCCCCTGTGGCGAGGCAGCCCCGTCTCTTTCTTATGAAAATCTTCTTTCTGACTGGTTCCCCCACTCATTCATTCAGGGTGAAGCAGGCCCTGGCCTCCAAAGCTCCACTAGCCAAAAACAGTGTTTCCTGAACCCTTCAGATTGTCAAATACCCAGCTACCCCTGTTCTGGAGCCCCCAAATCTTCTGCTGGGCAAGGTGCTCCCTCTGCTCTTTGTGGAACGCTGTGTATATGCATTCTATTCCGTAAGAGCCCTCAATTTCCTGGGCACGAGCATCATTCATTCATTCAGCAAGGAGGTACTGAGGGCCGCCATGTGCCCAGTGAGCAGAAGAGACATCCCCGAACTCTTGGAGCCTACAATCAAGTGGAGAGAGACAGACAAAAAGAAAAAAAAAAGGAAAGGAAACAAGATAAACAGTGAAAACATAATCCATGTAAAAGACAAAAAGCACAGAGAGAAGAGTCAGACAGGGGAGGAGGCTCCGAGCACAGAGTGGAAGGATGGGTGCTGCAAAGTGAGCGACTATGGCTGGGCTGGCCTCCCAAGGAAGGCCGAGTGAGGACTGAAAGAAGGTTTTGCTGTCAAACCTCACTCAAGGCGGTTTGTGCCAGGCACTATTCCGGGCATTTAGATTTACAGGGGCTTTTTAGGTTTTTTTTAAATTTTTTGAGACAGAGTTTGGCTGTTGTGGCCCATGTTGAAGCCACTCTTCCTGAGTGGCTGTGATTTAGCAAAGGCTGGGTCTGGGTGGGCATGTCCCTGGGACCTCAAGGAGTGAGGTTTGACTACAAAGAGCTTTAATTTTTTCTCAGTTACTGCTACCAGTCATTGGGGAAGGCCCTGCTTGCCCTGCTGGAGAGTGAGTGCTATTAAAGGTTGCCAAACTCTGCAGCTACTGCTGAGTCCTACAAGGTCACATTTTGGTTATGAAGTCTCTGTCCTCATCCATTTCAAACTCCAATCACCTATTCAACTCAAAGCTCCCCTTCCCCTCCTTCTCCTGCTCAGCAGAGTAAACTTGGGGGCAAACAGGGAGCAGGGCAGGGCTCTGCCATCTCAGGGGTCCCTGTTCCATGAGCCCTCTCCTGCTGGGATGGGCCTGGGGCCCGGGAAGGAGCTCCTTCCTCAGTACCCAAGGCTGTCTTGGTGTCCCTGCACCTCCAGCTGATTTATACTGTGCTGTACTGTGTTGTATTGTATTATACTGTACTGTACTGTACTGTACTGTATTGTACTGTATTGTATTGAATTATACTGTACTATACTGTATTGTATTGCATTGAATTATACTGCACTGTACTGTGCTATACTGTATGGTATTGTATTGTATTGCATTGCATTGCATTGTATTATATTGTATTGTATTGTATTGTACTGTACTGTACTGTACTGCATTGTATTGTATTGTATTGTATGGTATTATGTCATTGGTTGCAAGACTTCCCTAATGAAGGAAGTAGTGAGTTGACCTCTATTCTGGTCAAACTCTGTGTCTCATGCGACCCGTCTTCCTGAGTGGCTCTGGTTTAGCAAAGGCCGGGGCTGGGTGGGCATGTCCCTGGGACCTGCAGACTCCTTGTCCCATAGGAAGGAGGGCAGCCAGAGGAGAGCCACAGAGGGGCCCTTTAAAGTGCAGGGCCCAACGCCTGACTCCCCGTGGCCTGGTTGTAAGGGTGGTGCTGCAGAGAATGGTGTGGGGTGGGGGTGGGAAGCGTATCAGAGCCTGGGGGAGGGAGGAGACTCATGTAAACAAATCCCACCTCCAGCATACTCTCTCCAAGCCCGCCAGTTCTACCCCCACTTCCTGAAAATGTCTTCTGCTGACATCACCTCGGATCTTCAGTCCCCCTCTCTCCTTCATCCACACTACCAGCCCAGGTCACCAGCATGACGCCTCCATCCCCATAAGAACAGCCCCCTAACTAGTCTCCCTGCTTCCCCTCCTGTCCTCCTCCAGCCAACAGGTCACTCTAAAGCCAAGGTGATCTAAAAACATAAGTCAGTGCATCCTCCCCTTGCTTAAAATTATCAAACACTTCCCATCACCCTCAGAGTAAAATCCAGTCCCCTTAACGTGGCCCCAAAGCCATGGCACAGCCTCCCTCCTCCTTTCCACCCATTCATCACGCCAGGTTCTTTGCACCTGCTGTTCCTTCTGCTCCCAGCACCTCACTCCCTTCCTCTGGCCAACGCCTATGAATCTTTTATTTTTCAACTCAATGATAGCTTCCACAAGGAGGCTTTCCCTCATCCAAACCTCTGTTAGTTATGTCCATCCTGTTCTCTCTCACAGGACACTGCTGTTTTCCTGAGTTTCTCTTTTCACAATTTGAGACTCAGGCACATGCATGTATAACTCTATAGCTATATATCCATGTGTATATATCTATGCGCGTGTGTGTGTATGTATGTGTGTGTCCACCTCTCTCTCTCTCTCCCGTCTATCTACCTATCTCCTCTCTATCTATTTATCTGCTAGCTATCTATCCTGTTATTTGCCTGTCTTCTCTTTCTTTACCCTTCCTACCTTTCTTTTTTTTTTTTTTTTTTTTTTGAGAAGCTTCACTCTGTCACCCAGACTGGAGTACAGTGGCGCAATCTCGACTCACTGCAACCTCCGCCTCCTGGGTTCAAGCAATTCTCCTGCCTCAGCCTCCCGAGTAGCTCGGACTACAGGCGCCCACCACCACACCGGCTAATTTTTGTGTTTCTAGTGGAGACAGGGTTTCACCATATTGGCCAGGCTGGTCTCGAACCCCTGACCTTGTGATTTGCCTGCCTTGGCCTCCCAAAGTGCTAGGATTACAGGCGTGAGCCACCACATTCGTCTCTCTCTCTCTCTCTCTCTCTCTCTCTCTCTCTCTCTCCCTCTCTGTCTATCCATCTGTCTATCTGTCTATCTATCTAATGATCTAATGTCTGTTTAATACTTTCCTCCTCTTGTTTGTAAAGGTAGGGAACAGTCTTGGTCTGTCCACAGTTGTAACCCGGATAACCAGCCAGTGCCTGGAATAGAGTATGTGCTCAATCATTATGTGTTGGATTTACACAATGGCTGAACCAATGTGTCAATGACCCCTATTTTCTAAGAGAAACATTGATAATCAAGCAGATGTCATGCTTACATTGATATGAGGTGAGCGAAGTAAACATATGACCCTTCCAAGATCAATGTTATTCTTTTTCTAAAGTTACCATCTCATGGACTTGCCACAGTGCTTTGACAACCGTGAAAGACAATGCAACGCTAATGTGATTAGTTGGCCACGTTTTCCCTCTCTGACAATCTTTCATATTTAACACAAACCTTATACAAGATCATCTAATTTGAGAATGATTCTTCTCATGTATTCATTCCCATGCATGGAGGCCACTGGGATCTACGGATGAACAAGCCGGGACCCCGGGGTCCAAGAAGTGCCCAGGCTAGAAGTAGAGGAGAGATGAGGAAATCAACACCACAGCTGATGGCATGAGGGCTAAGTGAACTCACAAGCCACTTCATATGCGCAAGGGGCGGTGGTAAGCTCTTACATTCCTCATCCCGGATTTCCTGGATGAGTGATCAAATTTTTGCAACAGACAAATTTGAACATTATTTTACACAAATTTTTCTGTGATAAGGATTGATACACACATACTTTGTGTAATACAATCAGAAATTATTCAAATATTTGTTGGCTAAAATACAGAAAGGATTTCTTGAAAGCGTGCTTTTCTTTGTTTCTATCAGATGCCTGATTTAATTTGGTAGGAAGCATACCATTCAAATAATTTTAACATTGTAATAAAAATACAGTAATCGGGATCCTGCCCTGTATGACCTTGGATGAGTCATCTAGCTCCTCAGAGCCTCAGTTTCCTTGTGTGTAAAATGGAGTGATTATATAGGACCTAATTTTGCATGTTATTGTAATTAGAGAGTGCGTGTAAATTACGTAACATGGTACATGACACACAATAGGTGCCTAATACATGGAGGCCAATATCATCTGTTAGTATTATCATGTAGCTGGCTTATAAATTATGCCAAGTGTCTCCCAGCAGAAACCACTGCTCACCACATCACCTGGGCCTGAATAGGTGGTGGACGTGGGGCCAGAGGGGTCTCCGTGTGAAGTTCAGAGGGAAAAACTGCTTTCTCCATTGCCCCCAAGTAGAAGTGAAGTGACCTTCTCCCTTTGTCCTCACCAACTTGCATTCCTAGCTGCCGTCATTTTCTGGGAATTGGCAGGGGACAGATGGGTGGGGAGAGGACGGGGTGAGGCAGCTCATCCTAAACAGGTCTCCCTGACCTGCATTTAGCAAGCCCAGCACAATCTCAGCACCTCTCAGGCTGGGAATCACACCACCTCTCCCACCCCACCCACCACTTTCCTGAAGAGCAGCCCCAGCCTAGCCCCAGGCTTCTTCAGATTTGCATTGCTCAGGCCTGACTTTACAGGGAAAACTGCTTTGGGATTGGGGTGTTCTGCAGGTGCAGCCAGTGTGGCCAAGGCCAGCACTGAGGGCAGGGCCACAGGGCGGGGCTGGGGCTACTCCCCCCAACCCCCGCTCCAGGCCAGGGCGCTCTGCACAAGTATGGAAACATTTTTCTCCTGAGTCTTCATTTGAGAACAATTTAAATTCCTGTAGATGCTGGGGTGGGGGCTGAGAACCTGGGATGAGCAGGTGGGTGGGGCTGAAGCCCTGGGAACAGTGCCAGGGAGGGAGGCCTGGGCTGGGCACCCAGTCCTGGTTTCTGTGAATCACAGGAGGCCCAGAGTGAATGGACCTTCAATGTGTGGCTCTCAGGGCAGCACCAGAGGCATCGCTGGTGCTTAGGAAGCGACAGGTGCTCAGGTGGGAGTCCCAACAGATTCTTGGAGAAACAGGGACTTCACCATGGCCCTGGGAAAGGGGAGGGCAGCTGGATCGGCAGAGAGAGAAAGAAAGGCATTCTAGGGGTAGAAAAAGCCATGCAGCGGTGGCAGAGGGCAGGACACGTTGGAGAAACAAACATAGCTAGCTCCATGTGACTGAGAAGTAAGTAAGGCTGGAGGTAGACCACAGAGGGTCCCTGAAGCATCTCTGCCACCTCCAACCACAGCCGGATAGGCCCTGCTGGCATGTAGACCCAGGACTCTGTCCACGCGGAGGTTTACTCCCTGTCTTTGCAGAGTTGAGGGGTAACGCCCATACAAGGTAATGACTGGTGCCTCCGTGACCCCCAGGTCCCCCCAGTCACTCTGGGACACAGGCATGGTCTGTAACTGCCCTCAAGCTGGAGGAAGCTGCCTTACTGTTCTCCCGCACGCTGGGTAAAGCCCCACTCAGCACCACCTCGGCTGTCCTTCCAGAGGCCGCCTCCATGTGCTGCACAGAGCACATCTCCTCCTGCCAGATTTCAGGTGGGCAGCTGGAGGGGAGCAGAGAGAGTCGAGGCCCGTGCCCTCACCTCCAGCCAGCTCACGGGAGGCTCTGATTCTGGTCCAAGTCTGGGGAGATTTGGAGTGCTCCTCACTCTACAAGATCCAAATGATGGGGAGAATCCTGGCTGTGGCGTCACGTAGACCTGGGTTCAAATCCCAGCTTTGCCACTTACTAACTGAATGGCCCTCAGCATGTTGCCTAAACTGTCTGTACCTCAGTTTCCTCATCTGCAACATGTGGGGTGATTTGGGGACTGTGGATGGTTGGCTGGAGAGAACACATGTAAAGTAGCTGTCCCAGTGCCTGCATGGTGGATAGAACGAGAAACACATGAAGGCATGCGTGCAGGGGAGAAGATGAGCTGACCCAGATCAGCAACATTTTCCCCAAATTCACACTTAATCTTCTTCTTGGTAGGGATGACAGGGCAGACCAGACTTTCAGAGGAGAAGCCAAGCCCAGAGAGGCTAGTG